TGGTGATTGGACATTTAAATATACAGTTAAACCTGTCTATAGCGTCCACACTTGGGACTCACCGAAATAGGGTGCTATAGAGAGGGGGTGCTATAGACAGGTCACTTTTAATGTAAATCGCATCGTACTACGTATTTAAAATCGGGCACTATAGAGAGGGAGGCGCTATTTAGAAGGGGCGCTATAGACAGGTTTAACTGTAATATGAAAAATAATTGTTGAAAAAATAGATTAATAGCAATTATTTTACATATTTATGCTAATTATTTGTTTCATTTTTATTGAGGAAAAAAATCTCCTTATCGTGCAACTGAAAATTGCTGATCACATCTGTTGGAATAAATCTCAACCAATCGTTGATTTGTAATTATTTCTGAATATTTCTTAAATACCATTTCTCGATTAAAAAATAAAAACCAACCAATATTCGAAACTATTATAGACGCGTATAATTCTTTATTATAATAAAACAATTTCTACTGCCCTTATTGCAATGGAAAAATTAATGGGAGGACCTGGCTCATCAGTGGTGAAATCTCCCAGCGTTAATTTTTCCATTGCAGTAAGGACAGTAGAAATTGTTTTATTTTAAAAAAGAATCATACGCGTCTATAATAGTTTCGAATTTTGATAACAGATGGCGCGCTAATGCATCATAAAAACCAACCAGATTGCACTTCAGGCTGTTGGCCCTCATCAGCGAGGTGAAGACGTCAACGGTCAAAAAAGCGAGGCTTCCTGAAAATCAAGGCCAAAAGTGCATGAACACGCAAAACATTATGAAAAATAGTAAAAAATTAAAACGTCCTGGGATCAGGTAGTAACGTTTAAAATGTTTGGCTGGGTAATTAAGGTATATTAAGGCAATTAAGGTAATTGGCTAGGTAATTAAGGTTCTGGAATATTTGAAAAATCAACGATTAGTTGAAATTTATTCCGACAGATGGAGTAAGTCATCAACAGCTTTCAGTTGTACCACCAGGAGATATTTTTTTCTTATTGTAACCAACTGAACCTAGTATCATTTCAATTATGTCGGTTTTTTCATGTAAATTTTCAATTTTTTTTTTTATAATTCCTACGTTGTTACTCTATCATTTATATATAGAGGTATTTTAAATAAGCATAGGGCTCCTCTCCCAAAACTATACGTCATCTATTTGTCAAATTATGTTGACAAATATTTTCTGTTTTTTTTTTCTGATCTGGTTTTAGAAATAAGAATGTTGTCTTTGTTTGTTAGTGAACCAATCTCTCACGCCTTCTCATTGGACGAATGTGGCCATGTCTGTATATAAGAGGGGACTAAGGGAATGCGAGGGGGCCCAGAGCGTGGAGAATTGGTTTGGGGACACTTAAAGTGTTTTTCTACGAAGTTTTCCCTGTCTCTTGGCATCCCTGTGTCACCCGAGTCCGATCCCTACCAACGCTACAATAAATCTAAGTACCTTTTTATTTTATTTTACAAATCGCTAGTTCTTATTTATTTCCTTTTTGTTGTTGGTGTTGTACTCTTGAGTGTACGCTTTTCTGTGTATTAAGGTACATTTAATTTAGACCCTAGCTTATTCCATTTAATGTGTGCTAACCCGCAAAAGTATTATCTTTTGTCATATTGACCGTCGCCGCAAACTAGCGGCCTTGGGTCGGTGACAAAGCCACAACACCAGCTTTGGCAAACTGAAAAGCGTCCACCTAGAGACCATGGTTTCGGGATAATGGCCCTCGTTAGCCTTTTTTTTTTTCATCTAGAGGTTTTTTTTCTCATTCTCATTGTTTACATCATATGATTATTCTATTCACGGCCTAAAATTATTGTATATATATGTAGAACAAATATAAAGGCATACATGTATGACAGCGCAAGTGTCCCTAGGGGGACATGGCGTTTTAAATTGAAATAAAATAAAGAGGTATTTTATTAAAATGACTTCAATTTTTTTGGTGTGTCATGCTTAACTATGGGGGAGAAGTTTAATAAAGTATTCTACGCACATACCAAATGTGAATAAGTAAACTGTTCCTGCAGAAAAGTAAACAGGATCTCATTCCTTCTCCACTAGTGACTGCAGTTTTGTTCTCTCCTGGAATACCCGTTACATCAATACTCCAACATGGAGGGTAAAATGAAATCATTGCTGGCCCAAAAACATTCGCTCTAATACAGTAGTTCACAAAATAAAAATACAGTCGACTCTCGATATCTTGAAACTCAAGGGACCAGAAAAAATTTCAATGTATCAAGAGTTCAAAATGACAGGAGTTTAAACAACCAAGAGAGAGGGAGGGAAAAATCAATCAAACAAGAGTTTGAAGTTTTGGCAGTTTCGGGATATACATACTATGACTATACGTCCTATAAGCTTATGTCCATAGTTTTCTTGAAAACCATTTCTGTCATTCCATCCTTCAGTGCTGGGTATATAAGCAGAATCGTCCAATATAGTATTAGAGCTCTGAGAAGCGGTCTGGTGGATTAAATTGGCGAAACCGCTGGGAGGGTTCACTACTGATGAGCCAAGCCCTCCCAATATATTTTTTCATCGCAGTAAGGGCAGTAGAAGTTTGTATTATGTATAAAAGGAATATTCGTGCTTTTAAATCCTTTCATTTTACATATACATACTATGTTGATACAAGATTAAATAAGTGACTTACCGCAAGTGTTTTTAAATTAATAAATTTATTGGGAGATTACAGGTCTTCGTGATTTATTGTTTTAAGCATTTGTACAGCAATAACGCGCCATCTATATATAGCAATTGCTTTATATATATATTCTATATATTCATTTATACCTAACTGGCCTTGTCCTTATTGTTTGCAGAAGAGCATTGCTCGATTCAAATATTATATGTAATTCTACTATCCTAAAAGCTTATATCCATATTTTGCTTAAATACCATTTCTAAGATTCTACCCTTCAGTGAAGAAAATATAAGCAGAATGATCCAATATATTATTAAAGCTCTAAAGAGGCTGTCTGGTAGATTAAATTGGTGAAACAGCTGAAGAGTTCACCACTGATGAGCCAAGCCCTCCCAATATTTTTTCCATCGCAGTAAGGACAGTAGAAATTTTATTTTTGTGTGAAAGAAACATTTGCGTCTTAATGTTTTGTTTGTTTAGATTAAACTGGCGAAACCGCTGGGATGATTCACCACTGATGAGCCAAGCCCTCCCAATATTTTTCCATCGCAGTAAGGACAGTAGAAATTTGATTTTTGTGTGAAAGAAACATTTGCGTCTTAATGTTTCCAATTGCTATAACAGTAATGATAACATTTAACTAGCTTCAATATATAGCTATTTAGGAAGTAGTTGTAGCTTGGAAACATATTTTGGTAGATTATTTATTTTTCTATGAAAATATTTTTAATTTTCGATATTTGTATTTTGATACATTTTAAAATTTTCGCACTGCCTCTCTGCTATTTTGTTAGTTTTATTTTGGTTTTTGCCTTAAATAAATTGCCGTTTCATCCTGAAGTTTGTCTTTCCTAAATTTCTACGTTATAATATTTTGGAAGTTGAAATAAGTTAATTAAGAGCAGAATTGGTTTAGAATAGCTTTGTTTCAAAAATTTAATAGTGTGTGCACATTATGATATTAAAACGACATTTGAATACTATCCCGCATGTGTTTCTTTTCAACGAAAAATCAAAATTCATTTCAAGGAGAAATAACGATTTATTCTAACCTTTTGGATGAGGTATGAAAGGGTAAATTGTGAAGATGGGAATCCCTGGACACTTTTATTTTTCCGTTTATCATTACTCTTCACAATTAACCCTTTCATACCTCATCCAAAAGGTTAGAAATAATCTTTATTTCTCCTTGAAATAAATTTTGATTTTTCGTTGAAAAGAAACACATGCGGGATAATTTTCAAATGTCGTTTTACAATCACAAGCCGCATTATATTGTATTATACATTATGATATTGTAGCAAAGTATTTATTGTATATACAGATAATTAATTTTATATATCTTCTATATATAAAAAAAAATGTTTGTATGTCCGGTATACAAATTCGCAGTAGTTCACTAATTCAAACCAAAATTTCCATACATAGGTAAAAAAAATACGGGGAAGACAATAGGCTATTTTAAAAAATATATAAATCAATTATTAAAACTATATATTCAAATTATTCTACTTAGCTCACGAAGAGCGCCCTCTATCAAAGATTAGATTAAATTATGCTGATGCAAACAAATAGATAATGCTAATAACAAACAATTATAAAAAAAACTTATCTAAATATATATCACTCGGGTAGATATGCACACGGGTCAATCCCGGGGCAAAGCCCGGGTCACCCGTCTAGTTATTTATATTTTGTTAATCTGTAAACTTCCCTCATTGCTTATCTGTATCTTATAAATGTTGGGAATCTCTTATGGTTCAGACAATGAAACAACAAATTTACTTACAGCTGAAGTGGTTTTAAAGAATTAGGCAATTTTACCTTTTAAGAAAGTATTTTAAATTTATTATTTTCAAAGAGAGAGAGAGAAAAGAACATTTAACAATTTACATTACAATTACTTATTTTGTAAAACAAAACACTTCTTTGTTCTCGTTTTTATATTACAGTGTTGTCAGTCTAAAAGTATTTCAAGATCATTGATTTACTATTCTTCTTTTTTTTTCAAAAATAAATGTTGATTTTGTTTTTGCCTTAAATAAATTGGGCTCGAAAACCATACACTTTGGTTAGTTGCCATACATTCTCTCTTTCTCTGCCTTAAATAAATTGCCGTGTCACATTCTGAAGTTTGTGTCTTTCCTAATTTTCTATGTAACAATATTTATCACTGAATCAACACATTGTAAAAACATCACCCAACTTCTAACTGATGTATATAGTTGTTTATTTGTTTTGCATAATATTTCATTTATAAATTAATCTCATAATTTAGTCTGTAAATATTGGACTGGTGACAAAAACAAAACTGTAAATAAATGGCTTAATGTTATGTAGTTATAATATATGCCCGGCTAGCTCATTCGGTAGAACATGAGACTATTAATCTTAGGGTCGTGAGTTCGGGCCCACGTTAGGGGTTTTTTTTTTTTTTTTTTTTTGCCCTCCTGTAAGGTTCGGGAGGCCACTCCAGCATTACAACTCGCCATGTGTAAATAATCTGGACAAGGTGACTCGCGAGCTGTGCTCGAATCTAACACCTGCAAATTGAGATGAAATAAATAAATAAGTTATGATATATAATTAATTGTGATGGTTACGTAATTTTGATTTTCATTGAATAAAATATATAAAGTTTAAATGTGTTTTAAACTTTAAAAAACAAGCACAAAACACTAACTATATATTTTTACTATTAACTGTACTGGATTCCTGGAGCTACGTACCGAAGTCGCAAACTGTCCGATATTTTTGTTTAAATATTGTCGCGTTGAAGGCGGGGAGAGGTAAACAAGCTTTATTCCCTGTAAAAACGGTCTAGCTAAAATTGTAGCTACGCGAATTTATATTGCCACGTGAAAATTTAGGGAAGACAAACTCCAGGATGACACAGTAATTTATTTAAGGCAAGAACAAACTATCAATGATAAATAAAAGATAAGCAATTAGGGAAGTTTACAGAGTTACAAATAATAATGATACTTTGTTAATAAAATTATAAATACTTTGCTACAATATTGTTATTACACAATGCAAAACTATGTAAATTAATACAATCAAAAAATTATTTAAATAAATTAACCACGCTACCATTTTATGGGTAGGTGTATAGATTTGAAGAGGAAGTAAGACTTCAAGGATTTTCCTCGTTCCAGAGGCTGAAATTGGGATGCCATTGTGTTTGAAAGCAATAGGAAAAAAGACAAGTCACAATGGTCGAGGTTGCTCAACAATTGGCTTGATCATTCCATTATTGGTCGCTTTACCACGTCGAGCATTAAGGATGTGGGATGGTTGCGTGCGTGCTGGTGTGGCTTGTGGAAAGGCGGCTGATGAAATTATAATTATTTTTTATAAAATAAATTAATTTATTTAAAGCCAGAAATATATAAAGAGAAAAGAAGTAACGGCCGTTGGAAGCAAGCCTTGTTGTTGACGACGCGCGTGGCCAGAGTCCCGGATGCAGCCCGCGCATGCGTAGTGAGGTGTTCTCTCGCGGTTGCCGAGGCCGTCACACTACTGCCTGTATGTTTAGTGAAGCTTTGTCCTAGTTCGCGCTCGCTGAAGCAAAGTGTGGTCGCCACAAGGACTAAGCATCTAAAGAAGGGGTCGGCAATCTTTTGAGTCGAAAGAGCCAAAATTACAAAATTTAAAAGTTCTTAAAGAGCCACAAAATGTTTTTATTGCCAACAATGAATAGTATATCCTCGCATAAATAATATTTACGTATGGAACTAAAGAGCCGCATGAGACTCGCGAGTCGCAGTTTGCCGAACCCTGATCTAGAGGATTTAGACAAGGACACGGGGCCCGTGGGAAGTCACGTTGCGGAGCTACGTCAAATGAGAACATAACGTTAACTTCATTGTACCTATCACTAAAAAACAGTTTATCATGTATGTGAGAGTTATTTGTATCATATGAATTATATCCAAGAGAAATTAGAAGTATCTCGCATATTTTGAACAATTCCAATGGTTTTGAAACTACATATTTCATATATCACGCTATTTGACGGTTAATATGAGACTTCTTTAATATATAAATATATACGAAAAATAAAGAAAAAAAGGTTAGGTTTTAATATTAAAATTAAATTTAGGATTTTGGGTGAGGATCATGAAAATAGAAGGTAGCAGGTTGCTTCGCGTATGTTTGGCACACATCTGGACATTGCACAACCATCAAAGAGCTGGCTGAAAATTTGTTGAAAACCTGTCAACTATTTTAGGCTCAAAGAGCTTCTCATTCTTGAAGGATTGTATGGACTCTACTGTTGTACAGACTGAAATCCCCGTCCAGCTTGGATTACACCGGCTTGTAGGCCGCTCCGACGTCAGGCTCTCCTGGCACCGTCTCGCAGGATCATCCTCAAGCCCAGAGGCAAGTCGCCACCGTCTTCTCCTCGCTGCAGATGTTTACCAGACTCTGTTCTCCCCCACACGGGAATTCTGTTTGTGTTGTCACACATGACCATCTTGCCCCAACTTTACTCTATAATATTGGCCTTGCCATCCATTTTACAATATGCTAACTGCCAAGGAGCACATAGCAAATTGGCGTGGGTGCTCCCTTTTCAAGAAAATAAACCTGATAATTTCATACCATAAAGAACACGTCAAGAAATCGAAAATTATAATACTATAATAACTCAAAACCACCCAATAACCCAAGCCATTAATCCCATAGAAAGTGCAATTAAAAATGCTCTTTTAAGCGATCTATCAATAACTTGGCATGGATAGATAGTGGATTTTTAAATCAATATTTCAAGGTAGACATTTAGACCTATTCAACAGAATTAGATAACTATTCCATCTCGTCGATATATCTACAATTAACCATATAACATTTTGTTGTGTACAACAAGTAGTTGTTGTGCCCGGGCGCTTAAATTTTAATGCGCAAGAGCGGATTTTATCTTTTTCGAGGTGATATTTTATGTTAATATCCTTTTATTCAAAATACTTCGTTCAAAATGACGGCCATATAGTCCAACGAATGAATGAAAGTTATGAAAATATTTTTATGAGCAGAAAGGGATAGCTATATTTTGTCACCTTGCATACCTGATTGTTGGTAGCCGCAACAATGGCTGTCTTTGTGTCTACATTGACCACGTCAACCTGGACCTGCTGCACATGAAGAGAATCTGCGTTACATCCCGCTGGACTACCTCATATTGTTGGACAAGTTATGGAGCTACCACTCACCCCGCTGGATCTCTTGATACCTAGAACCTATGTGGATGGAACAACAAACGGGCTCCATGGCAACCCTCTATATGGCAGACATCAATCCAGAAGAGGACATCCATACGGACAAGGCACCTCAAGTTGGCCGGTATTGTGATCAGGGTGCACGGACCGATCTGATCTGCTTCATGGACAAGAAAACACCACCCCAAACGAGCTTATCTCGGCTACCTGTTCAGTTCTCTTCTTGGTTTGAAGACCACGAGACTTCAGTCCGTGAGTAGCAACGTTTAGCAGAGCATTTACTCTATCACACACTAATCTACATTAAAATTTTACACAAATAAATTTACTGGCAATGCGTTTCTTTTTTAAAAAAGAAACGCATTGCCAGTAAATTTATTTGTGTAAAATTTTAACGATAGAGGGCAATAAAATTTAATTTACTAATCTACATCATGACCTTCCCTGCGACTTTCGTCTCCGGGTGTTTGGCTGTCTTAGCAGTGTGGTGGCCAGTATTCTATTCAACTAGATTAACCTAACTCGGCCATACTGCTATAGGTTTGTTATCTCGCCCACTGACATATATCTATACCTCTCTCTGTTTTTACAACTTTCTAGCAAATGTTAGAGAATTGTTAATGAATTATTTATATATATGTCGGATCCTGTCGACTCTATGTGAGATTCGATTTGATCCTGTCGACTCTAGGTGAGATTCGATTTGATCTTGTCGACTCACAATAGTAATTGGAGATTGGATCCTGTTGTTACCTGCGTAAGATCCTGTTGACTCCTGTCAACTTACTGTGGGATTGGTGACTTGTGGTGAATTGTGGAGGTTGGTGATTGATGGCGCAGTCTTGGTCGAATGGTGGGTTTCCACAGGGGAAATAACGAGAGCACACCTGGATGGGATAGAACCTGGACTTCAGCGAAAAGAGAGAGAGAGTTGTGACTGGAGGAGGTACCTTGCCTTTCACATGATTGAAGAGGATTTTTACCTTGGTTGGAGCCTCAGTTGAGCACACCTTGCTTCTAGCCCGATCACCTACCTTCTCTCAACTTCTTAGCCGAGATCTTCCTCGTTAACTCTCTCGGCTTCTCATTGGTTGAGATCGTTCTACGTGCCTACTTCTGATACGCTATTAGTTTGTCATGCTTAACTGTGATTGGTTGTTGGTACCTCCATTGTCGTCATGATTGCCATCTTCCAGGAAGAAGAAGGTCTTTGAACTCTAGTTTTATGGGTCCTGGGCAGTGACCTTTACTTCCTGGATGATGCAATCCTATTAATGGTTTATTCCCTCTTTTCGCGAAGCCTACTTTTATTAAATCTTATGACGACACATTGCATAGGTTGTGGTGGGGTTGCATATTGTTATATACAAATTATTACATATATATACAGTAGAACCTCCATGAGAGGACACTTCCACTAGAGAACACCTCTCTACAAAGGACATTTTTCCTTTGTAAAATTACTATTTTTACTATTTATCACCTGCCCAGAAGTCCAACCCCTCCTCTACGTGGCGGGTAGGAGAAGCAGCAAAGTAAGGAACTGCCCTGTAGGACGAAGTACGGTGGGGACTTTGTGAGCCCCGAGCCGCTACGGTAACCGTGAAGGCCTACAAGGAACTCTGAAATGTGGCTGACTAACGGGGCAACTTTGGCTCTGCAATTAGGTATCCTTTATAGGGAGGTTCTACTGTATTAAATAGAAACCAAAAAGGTTTATTCGTTCCAGAAAATCATAAATAGATGAATTCTCACACTGATATAAACACATTTCAATGATATGTTTCATAGATTATCTTTCAAAGTGATATGTGTCCTTATATATGCAGTTAAACCTGCCTATAGCACCTTTCTCTCTATAGCGCCCCCTCTAAATAGCGCCTCCCTCTCTATAGCGCCCGGTTTTAAATATGTAGTACGATGAGATTTACATTAAAAGTGACCTGTCTATAGCACCTCCTCTCTATAGCACCCTATTTTGGTGAGTCCCAAGAGGGGGTGACAGGTTTAACTATATAGTTAATTGGGTGATAGAACACACCCTTATATGTGATTCATTTCTAATCAAGAACATCGCATTATTTATACATATATGCGACATAAATTTATAAAACCATTTATGCAAATTTATTTTACACAAGCTTGAGTAAATGAGTAATTTGCACCACAAACTTAGGTTTTACACATACATTCATGGACAA